GCACTGCAGCAAATTCAGATTCGGATCCTACAGAACATGGTGAAATATGACGGTAATATATCAGGGATAGACCACCCCCGACTGTTCATTCATAAACTGTCGACTAGGATCTGTGTTGGTATCGATATTTAGTTCGATTACAACCGAACAATCGAATTGGGAACATTCGACGACTAGAAGTAAATGAGTACGGAATATAAACGATAAAGTGTAATTAAGTTTTGGGATCCAATAACTTACAACTGAGTATTGAAGTAATACTAAACAATCCATCGAGCACTGAAATGCGATAACTTCGCTAACGCTGAGAACTGAAAGACCACTATAACTGCCCCATGAGTGTTAGAATCTTGAAACTTATCAGAGCTTCTTTGAATGTGTACCAAATTCCAATGACGACTGGAATCCCAAAATGCACAGTTAATTACCAAATGTACAGGTAAATGATGTAGGCTAATATAGAGTTCTGGGATACAATAACTTGTAAGGTTAAACGTGACTCTCTCGTGAAATGCCACTGGCGTTGGAAAAAAAGTTTGCTTTGGGTTTCACTCATTTACTTCATGGAAAGGTTTGTGTTATTTTGGACCATATCAGGGAAGACAGTTAATTTAAGTTGTGGTAGTTTTTAGGTGTGGCATGTGAAGACATATAGGAGGATCTAGGCCTAGGCATAGCTGTATTTTATTCGTGAATAAAGTTCAATGTACTTTATATACATCATTGTATGTGACATACTTTATGTCAATCGTCAAAGACAGTACATATAGTGGTCGAAAGCATTAACAAATTGATTCCGATCACTTCAATCTACTTTAATTTATAACCAACGGGAAAATTGTGATATGCTCCCAAGTGTGAAAAAAACATTCTCTATTTTAGAGAATCTCCTCAAATAAAAGTCACACCATAACATCACTCAGTTGTATTTTATACAAATGAACTTCTGTACTAATCAGTTACCAAACGGATGTAACAAATCTTTGAAACGGTATTTTGTGGTCAATCGTTTCTAATCCGTCCACGTAGGCGTACTAGGACGCATTTTGTAGCGTGGAAAGAGAAAGTCCAAATACTCGTGAAGATGCATTCTGAGCTCTGACGTAGCGTTATATAATCCTATGCGCGTGGAGAGTTTGTTCAGACCTTGTAATACGATACTAGGGTGAGGACAATCTGCACACGCCACATGTAAGGGTGCTATTGTTGTGGAAATCGACCATTTCACCCTTGTAATCGTGTATTGTAAGCAGTTATTAACGTATTATCTGTATAGGTCGCGGTGTAATAGCGAACTTTTTGTTCGATTGAATGAAATAGATTGTTAGACTTTTGTACAGTTTATGTGCAGTACCTTTGAATATTGAAAGGAGTGGACATCCTATGGCCCTATGCCAATGTAAGGCTTAAGCCAGTTTTAGATTAAATGTACCTAGTAACAGATTTAATAACCATTTTCGTACCTGTATGCAAAATTTAAAAATATTAAAAAAGGTCTTGGATCTTTGAATAATGGTGTCTATTTAGTAAAAAATTAAATAAAGTACCTCAAATAGATTTATTAGATGTATCAAATTTTGTCTTGAAACATGGGATACCAAGCTAGCGGTTAACAGCATTTGAAAATGAGCATTTGTACTCATGAAGATAAGGAGATTAAGTAATGTTTGTGTGCCTAATGTCGATTGCCTTATTTTTTTGTTGCACCTTTTAGAGTGATCCCAATAAAATTCACCAGTCAATAATCTTCGGCTTAGAGGACAGTTTGATCTATGATGGCGCCAATGTTTTGTTACCCTATCCCTAAACAGGATACAGTACCAGTGGTTGCTATACAAACCACCCTTGAAAACAGCCCTCCTGTGTCTGACCTATGTCTGTCCTCGCGGACATTTCGTCGCGCGATCTGGTTCGTGCCAAGCTGTTTGTTGAGAAATGTCTACACTTTGATTTAGAACCTTTTAGAAAAAGGAAATTTCTATAGCAAACTAACTGAGTTGTTATAGTGCTCGCCTAATAAACGGTCACCGGTTCGATCCTGAGAACATACTACCGCAGAACCAAAAGTTGGGAAACACTGGTCTAGTGTAAATTAGTAAGTGTATTGTTGCGTTGTTCAAAACCGTGACATTCAACAATAATCAGGCGATCCTATGTTCCACAGTGGAACTTGAATGGAAGTTCTATAAACAGTTTTACCATGACGACATAGCCAGTGCACGCTGGATTGTTACATTGGCCGGACTTAAATGGATTGCTGGACAATCTGGGCGCAGACCGGGCCTCAAATTAATTGCCCTGAGCTTCTTGTACTGTAGCTCGTTCATTGAGGGTTTGTGGGAGAGGGGTCTTCAAACTTCGTCCGCATTTAACTCTCTCTACGGCCGAACAATGTTTGCTCTCCGATTTTCTCTCCTACTGTATACAAGAATGAATAAATACAACTATCGATAACAAAAATAACTTCCTATCTTACAATTAATAAACATCAATAGTTAAATAAATAATACTTACAGTAAGTATAGTGTACCTGTTGCTCGAAATCGAGCAATTTTCAAGTACCGGTGTTGTACAGGTGTTAAAAACTTAGAATAGTCATAATTTTTCTATGAGTTTAAGAGACTCCACTAAAAGCAATGGAAATACTCACGCTGTTAATAAACGTTTTACATAACAAACACTTATTGTTTTCTATCGTTTTCTACAAATGTTTCCCGACCTCCCTATTAGCTCTTACCATTAAACATTTATTGTACGTATTTATTTGATTGTAATGGGGCGAATTCAATGTTATACTCTCATTAGTCAAGTTTACTTTACCACAGTTACAACAGTGTATATTCTTCGTGTATTTTTTCTCATTTCAAAGTAAGTTGCATAGCAGAACTAGCAAATACTGTACTATTCATCTCACCAAGTGAGTGTTTATCTGTATGCCTTACAGTTAGACCAGGCCTATCTTCTTTTACTCTTATCATACACACAAGATCTTTTATTAATTGTCTACTATTCCTGTTTTCAATATTTCTTTCTTTGAACTCGGGGAATTTTATTATGTTCTTCCAACAAAGCCTGTTAAACTGTTAACATTGGTCTATAACCTTCTGAATATTACAAACATGAATATTTACTCCAAAAAGCTGATGAGTATATTTTTATAGACAGCTGTTTTGTTTATGTTTTTATTTGTTCAATGTAATTCTTATGGGAGAAAATCTACCTTTGAGAGCACCTCGCGCCCTTGTAAGAATTTGTAAATTCTAAAACCTTATTGCAAAACTGCAAATTGAGACGAATTTTTTGACAGCTCACACGTTGAAATTGGACCACAAAATAAGAAAGGAATAGTGTTCATAAAGAGCTTCACGTATAATAGATAGTATCTGGGGACTGAGCCATTGCTCGGTATAGTTTATTTCCATTGTACCCCTCTTATATCAAGAATATCATTCCTATATCAAGAATCTTCAGTGTAATCTTTGCTCAGTAGTTACAACTGTTGGTTTCCCTTTGTACTGTATTGTGTAATTTGCTAGTGTACTCTGGATGGCTTATTATAAACACGTGTTACAAGTCTTTCGTTTACTCTTTCATAATGATATAAAACATTTTATATCATTCATTTGCGTAATTATATTTTTGTTGGCAGTTCTAACCACAGTAAACACTTTTTTAGGCCAGATATAAATTATTTACAACATTTGAAGGAAATCGTCAATTGCGTTTTCGAGATATGTGTGCAAACATACACACATACAAGCAAACATTGGTCATATTACAGTATAGCATATAGGAACGATTTTTGCAAAACTTCAAACAATTGGTATTGGGTTCATCCTATTGTAGTTTAGTTTCTCACTTGATCAAACAACAGAACTTTGCCCATCTTCAAGTTTAGCTGTCCATAGCTACTCGAACTTACTTTTGCAACTTGTGGGGCAGAGGGTTGGGCGGGCGGGGGGGGGGGGGGCTGGGGGTTTTAAAAAATCTTGTAAAATAAAAAAATCTTATTAATAAAGAGATTATGAAATTCTTCTATTAAAGTACTTCTAAGTGAGTGGTGGTGTTGGTTCAGGGGGTTTGTAAATGGAAGAGGACAATTCGTAAATAATTTACCGGCGCACCCTTTTCACTTAGGTCATCCCAAAGTATTTAAAATGAACAACGGAAGTTCTGTCGTTATGTTTGTTATGTACTTTAGTATTATTACTTTGAATATGCAATTTAGGTGTGCGTGTAGTCTAGTCTAGTGGTTAGAATGGAGAACTTCTGACATGGAGGTCCGGGTAAATCTCACTTATTATTATGACTTATGTTAGATAAGAGGAAATAATAGACCTACTACCTACTCGATGGTTTTGAGCCCACCTACATTAGGAAAATATTTTTTTTTGTTTTGGGGAGAATTTTATCCGAAAGAACTCCCTTCACTCCACTAAAAACACTGCAATGTGTGGACATTTTCCGTTATACGACTACCACTTTGTGTTTACAGTTTGAACCTAATTATTTAGAAATCCTGTTTAGAATCAGTTTATTTTATGTTGGATTGAGTTGTGTTAGGTTAGAACCGAAACATAACTTATGATTTCAATTTATTGTATGTTACATACCAAAATAAAGTAGTAGTTGAATAACGAAAAGTCCATCATAAGCCTGTAAGGAAAAACCATACGAATTGGTGTTGCCTCTTCATTCTTATAAAGACAAAAATCACTATTGACCAAAAATTTAAATGAATTATCAATTCGTTCAATTTACTGACGAGTTTCGGAATACCACTGATACAAAATACCTGATTTCAAAGACGGCCGATAAAAAGGCCTTGTAAAACGAACGACCTAGCATTTTTCGCAGTCAGTAACAACTTTCAATAAGATTAGAGTGATCAATTAACGATTGAGCAGTGGTGGTGGGGGAATGCACCAAGGGGAGTGTGTCAGTGGTGGGGCGAATGAGGGGAGGGGAGGGGTGGAGGGAAAAAGCAGAGCAGACGACAGTCGGTGTGCGACCAGGCTGCGAGTATGTGGGATGCAGCGACCGACCGGCATAAGGCAAGTTAACCTCAATCTGTCAATAACACACGATCAGCTGATCGAACTTACAGCGTTGCCAAATGTCGTGATTTATTATCTGCATACTGTATGAAATACAGTAATTGTTATTTACGAAGGGTTGTTGCGGATTTTCTAAGGGCAGTGTGTAGGTTGGAGAATTGTGAAGATGTTATCGTGGTTCAAGTGCCAGTTTTCAATCAATGACTAAATGGGGCTTTAAATTGGTTGAAGATACAATTAGTACAATTGGAAATGAGATTTTATGCTTGGTTGATTAGTGCGAACTGAATGTAATGTTTCGATAAAATTACATTACTGCATGTCCTAAAAGCAAAGTGTGTAAAAAGAGTAAAGTTTTTCGAAAGCTCTCGAATTCTAATATCTAAATATAATTGTGTGTTTAACAGATTACAATTAAGACCTCAGTTGCATAGTTTTTAAAGCTTGCATAAACGTGCACCAATTGGCGAAAGATCAAACAACATTTGAATATAAAAAATGTTAAATTAGTTAAAACGATCATGTAAAAGGCAATTCCGTTAGAGTATTAGAAAACCATCTAGTGTAGTATTTACTATTTGCTAGCTTCGTTGTGGTTAGTAATGCATCATCGACATTACTATTATTATTTTAAAATATATTAAGTGACAGTGATAGAATATTATTAATTGTAATGTTGGTATGGTTGTGACAGGTATATCTTTAGGGTGAACATGAGCGATTTTAATGATCAGTTAAACTAATAAATAATGTTACAAAATACTGTACCAATATTACCTTTGCAAAATTAATTGTCGAAATTTAACTAATTCCAATTTGAAACGAACCTAGCAACCAAATAACACAAATATATTGAGTATATATTACCGGGAATGTACACAAAGAATCTATATCTATAAATTGATTATAAAAATAACATATTATCGGGTCACCATTTTCTCTCCAAGATTCGTATGGACATCAATCCCCTCTGTATTATCGTATTATAATGAATGCTATCACAGAGATCTGTTATCAATGCAGTGATGTGACCTTGAGAAGTAAGTCGAACTATAGATAAAAGGGGTGGATGTCACACTACCTCTGTAGCCTGACTGTTATCAATGCATTGATGTGACCTTGAGATGTAGGTTGGACGATTGATAAGAGGGGTGGATGTATGCTGCGTATGTCACACTACCTCTGTAGCCTGACTGTTATCAGTGCAGGAATGTGACCTTGACATGTAGGTCAGATGATAGATAAGAGGGGTGGCTGTATGCGTATGTCACACTACCTCTGTAGCCTGACTGTTATCAATGCATTGATGTGACCTTGAGATGTAGGTTGGACGATTGATAAGAGGGGTGGATGTATGCTGCGTATGTCACACTACCTCTGTAGCCTGACTGTTATCAGTGCAGGGATGTGACCTTGACATGTAGGTCAGATGATAGATAAGAGGGGTGGCTGTATGCGTATGTCACACTACCTCTGTAGCCTGACTGTTATCAATGCATTGATGTGACCTTGACATGTAGGTCAGATGATAGATAAGAGGGGTGGATGTATGCGTATGTCACACTACCTCTGTAGCCTGACTGTTATCAGTGCAGGAATATGACCTTGACATGTAGGTCAGATGATAGATAAGAGGGGTGGATGTATGCGTAAGTCACACTACCTCTGTAGCCTGACTGTTATCAATGCAGGAATATGACCTTGAGATGTAGGTCAGATGATAGATAAGAGGGGTGGATGTATGCGTAAGTCACACTACCTCTGTAGCCTGACTGCTATCAGTGCAGGGATGTGACCTTGACATGTAGGTCAGATGATAGATAAGAGGGGTGGATGTATGCGTAAGTCACACTACCTCTGTAGCCTGACTGTTATCAATGCATTGATGTGACCTTGACATGTAGGTCAGATGATAGATAAGAGGGGTGGCTGTATGCGTATGTCACACTACCTCTGTAGCCTGACTGTTATCAGTGCAGGGATGTGACCTTGACATGTAGGTCAGATGATAGATAAGAGGGGTGGATGTATGCGTAAGTCACACTACCTCTGTAGCCTGACTGTTATCAGTGCAGGGATGTGACCTTGACATGTAGGTCAGATGATAGATAAGAGGGGTGGCTGTATGCGTATGTCACACTACCTCTGTAGCCTGACTGTTATCAATGCATTGATGTGACCTTGACATGTAGGTCAGATGATAGATAAGAGGAGTGGATGTATGCGTATGTCACACTACCTCTGTAGCCTGACTGTTATCAATGCAGGAATATGACCTTGAGATGTAGGTCAGATGATAGATAAGAGGGGTAGATGTATGCGTAATTCACACTACCTCTGTAGCCTGACTGTTATCAGTGCAGGGATGTGACCTTGACATGTAGGTCAGATGATAGATAAGAGGGGTGGCTGTATGCGTATGTCACACTACCTCTGTAGCCTGACTGTTATCAATGCATTGATGTGACCTTGACATGTAGGTCAGATGATAGATAAGAGGAGTGGATGTATGCGTATGTCACACTACCTCTGTAGCCTGACTGTTATCAATGCGTTGATGTGACCTTGACATGTAGGTCAGATGATAGCTTAGAGGGGTGGATGTATGCGTATGTCACACTACCTCTGTAGCCTGACTGTTATCAGTGCAGGGATGTGACCTTGAGATGTAGGTCAGATGATAGATAAGAGGGGTGGCTGTATGCGTATGTCACACTACCTCTGTAGCCTGACTGTTATCAATGCATTGATGTGACCTTGACATGTAGGTCAGATGATAGATTAGAGGGGTGGATGTATGCGTATGTCACACTACCTCTGTAGCCTGACTGTTATCAGTGCAGGTATGTGACCTTGAGATGTAGGTCAGATGATAGATAAGAGGGGTGGATGTATGCGTATGTCACCTCTGTATGACCTCTGTAGCCTGACTGTTATCAGTGCAGGGATGTGACCTTGATATGTAGGTCAGATGATAGATAAGAGGGGTGGCTGTATGCGTATGTCACACTACCTCTGTAGCCTGACTGTTATCAATGCATTGATGTGACCTTGACATGTAGGTCAGATGATAGATAAGAGGGGTGGATGTATGCGTATGTCACACTACCTCTGTAGCCTGACTGTTATCAATGCAGGAATATGACCTTGAGATGTAGGTCAGATGATAGATAAGAGGGGTGGATGTATGCGTAAGTCACACTACCTCTGTAGCCTGACTGTTATCAGTGCAGGGATGTGACCTTGACATGTATGTCAGATGATAGATAAGAGGGGTGGCTGTATGCGTATGTCACACTACCTCTGTAGCCTGACTGTTATCAATGCATTGATGTGACCTTGACATGTAGGTCAGATGATAGATAAGAGGAGTGAATGTATGCGTATGTCACACTACCTCTGTAGCCTGACTGTTATCAATGCGTTGATGTGACCTTGACATGTAGGTCAGATGATAGATTAGAGGGGTGGATGTATGCGTATGTCACCTCTGTATGACCTCTGTAGCCTGACTGTTATCAATGCGTTGATGTGACCTTGACATGTAGGTCAGATGATAGATTAGAGGGGTGGATGTATGCGTATGTCACACTACCTCTGTAGCCTGACTGTTATCAGTGCAGGTATGTGACCTTGAGATGTAGGTCAGATGATAGATAAGAGGGGTGGCTGTATGCGTATGTCACACTACCTCTGTAGCCTGACTGTTATCAATGCATTGATGTGACCTTGACATGTAGGTCAGATGATAGATAAGAGGGGTGGCTGTATGCGTATGTCACACTACCTCTGTAGCCTGACTGTTATCAATGCATTGATGTGACCTTGACATGTAGGTCAGATGATAGATAAGAGGGGTGGCTGTATGCGTATGTCACACTACCTCTGTAGCCTGACTGTTATCAATGCATTGATGTGACCTTGACATGTAGGTCAGATGATAGATAAGAGGAGTGGATGTATGCGTATGTCACACTACCTCTGTAGCCTGACTGTTATCAATGCGTTGATGTGACCTTGACATGTAGGTCAGATGATAGATAAGAGGGGTGGATGTATGCGTATGTCACACTACCTCTGTAGCCTGACTGTTATCAATGCATTGATGTGACCTTGACATGTAGGTCAGATGATAGATAAGAGGGGTGGATGTATGCGTATGTCACACTACCTCTGTAGCCTGACTGTTATCAATGCGTTGATGTGACCTTGACATGTAGGTCAGATGATAGATAAGAGGGGTGGATGTATGCGTATGTCACACTACCTCTGTAGCCTGACTGTTATCAATGCATTGATGTGACCTTGACATGTAGGTCAGATGATAGATAAGAGGGGTGGCTGTATGCGTATGTCACACTACCTCTGTAGCCTGACTGTTATCAATGCGTTGATGTGACCTTGACATGTAGGTCAGATGATAGATAAGAGGGGTGGATGTATGCGTATGTCACACTACCTCTGTAGCCTGACTGTTATCAATGCATTGATGTGACCTTGACATGTAGGTCAGATGATAGATAAGAGGGGTGGATGTATGCGTATGTCACACTACCTCTGTAGCCTGACTGTTATCAATGCGTTGATGTGACCTTGACATGTAGGTCAGATGATAGATAAGAGGAGTGGATGTATGCGTATGTCACACTACCTCTGTAGCCTGACTGTTATCAATGCGTTGATGTGACCTTGACATGTAGGTCAGATGATAGATAAGAGGGGTGGATGTATGCGTATGTCACACTACCTCTGTAGCCTGACTGTTATCAATGCATTGATGTGACCTTGACATGTAGGTCAGATGATAGATAAGAGGGGTGGCTGTATGCGTATGTCACACTACCTCTGTAGCCTGACTGTTATCAATGCGTTGATGTGACCTTGACATGTAGGTCAGATGATAGATAAGAGGGGTGGATGTATGCGTATGTCACACTACCTCTGTAGCCTGACTGTTATCAATGCATTGATGTGACCTTGACATGTAGGTCAGATGA